ATCAACTGAACTCAACTGCTCCATTGGGACCTGTTGGGTCGCCCTTCTCCACGAACGTGAGATGTGCGAGTCACTGCAGAGCCGTTTAAGAGGCACTTTGCGTCCTCTAGTCTCCAAATACTCTTGAAAATCCTCTGATTGGGGGAATAAGTGAGTACTATTAGAAAATAGACGAGCCAGCACGTCAAGAACTCCATGCTTAGAAGGCGTGCAGCAAAGCAACGCGCTCACCGGATTGAAACGCGAAGCGATGAGGCGAGAGGCAACAGTGGGTGGGGAAAGTGACGATTGTGCACTTATTGGTTGTAAACTACGGAGCATGTTTTCGGTTACGAGTTTATTGCCCATTTCAGATATCTTAGTTTGATGTTTGGCATTAAGAAGATCAAAAGATAAAACACGTTTTTAATGCCACTTTGTGAAATAAAGGATCAGACATACTGCCGCGAGCAACATCAACGCGTATAATTGCGGGATTTTGGTGGTTCTTTACTCTCATCATCATCTCCTCCTACACTGCCAACTTGGCTGCCTTCCTGACGGTGGAGAGGATGCAAGCGCCGATTGAGGATGCCAACGATCTGGCAAAACAGACAAAAATCAAGTACGGCACAAGGAGTGGCGGCTCCTCTGCTGCCTTCTTTGCGGTGAGATACTTTTTTCATGTCTCCTCAATTCAGCAAGGCAGTAATGAATCTATTCGCTCCCCTCGTACCCCCTAAGACATGCAAATTTGGCTTCACTGATAACATGAACAAAAGGGCACGGGGAGGACGTTACTCAGTGCTAGAAGCTGCATTGTCATAAAGGTGGGATTTTACATGAGTACACAAAAGGAAGGTAGAAGTGCATCGCATTGTCTCCAAGGCTCACATTTCCCTTCACAAACCGAATTACCGAGAACTTGTTTGCCATTAAAAATTCTTCCGAGTTCCTCAAAAGCAATCACTTCGAGTGTTGTCTTTGCGTGCAATATCGTGGTGGAAGCAGGTAGAAGTGCAGATCACGAAAACTAAATTCCAAAACAACGTTTTTCGTTTTTGTATGGCTGCGTATTATTTTTTACTGGTGTGTGGGGAAACCCACACTTGAATGCTTACGAGTACGGCGAGTCTACTCAACCTCGACTGCTCCACGCGGTTCGACTTTCTGCAGTTTGCAGTTTGTTGATTTCAAGTGAATGCAATCACATTTCTTTTGACTTTGGTGTCAATGGATCTGTCGGTTGGTTTCTTTCCCTTCAGTCCATCCACATCAAAGGGTCTGTTTATCGCGTATCAACAACTTTTGAGTCTTTTGTGAGGCAGAAGGGCTGTGCCTTCCCAAGCAGGCAAAAATTGTCGAAGTGGAATTTCTCCTTCAAATGAGATAATTATTTGAATTTGGAATGAAGGGACTTCAGAATGCATTTCGTCAATTCTCTTTACTGCCACTGTGAGAACTTTTTAGTGAAGAGGAGGTTGTTTGAAAGCTGCCAGACTTTGGGAAGAAACACCATCCAAGCGTTTGCTTGGAAGGTCAAAAATGTCTCTCAGTTGGCTGCGGAAAATATTTGCTTCTTCCATAGACAGCATTAAAAGCGACGTTTAAAAGGGCTACTGGCTGGCCAATTCTGAAAAAATGGTTTACGAAAATTTTCAAAAGTTTCTAAGCTAATCAAACCGTAAAGTCGAGTAGTCTTCCAATGCTGAGCATGAGAGAAAGACAGAAATTCTCTACATTTTGTACTCTATACGGTGATTTTTGCTTGACAAATGGGCAGTTCCACAGTTTTATGGAGAAACCGTCAAACCTGAATTGAAAGTACTTTTAAGGTTGGGTTGGACTTCCACCAACGGGAGATTGATTAAGTTTTGTGGAGAATAAATCCCTTCACGGAGGTAAATTTTCTCTCCCCGTCTGTACACATATAAAAGCTTTAGAACTACCTGTCTGTGGTGTTGATTTGGCGGCAGTTGAGACAGGTGAGGCAGGAAAATTCGGTCAAACGGAGCAAGCATTATTGTCGGGACTGTGTTTGCTCCCAAAACTTCACGTCAGGCGGCTCCTCAGATGGGTGATTTCGAGAGGACTCAGGGCATCTCCTCTCAAAGCTTTCAATCGCATCACGAATGGCACGGTTGATTGCTCATTTCCAAAAGGATTAAACCTTAACTAATGAGCAGAACGCTCATTATCCGAGGGTAGGAAGAAACTTACCTCCAAAGCGCAGTGAGGATTTCATTCCATTTCCCGTCATGTCGTTTGAAAACTAAGACCAAGCAATTCTCCCCATTCTAGGAGAAGAGCCAAGCCTGAATTTGATGAATAGGGACTCATCTCTGGCCTTGCTGAAGTCAAACGAGTGCGATTCTGTCGAGACGCTGCTCCCTGCTATCCTCTTCCTCATTCCTCCCTCTTTTTAGACCATCTCAACAAATGCTCCTTTCATTCGATACACCTCCCATTAGCTTGTAGGGATGAGGACAAAGTCGCTTTGAGCATAACACTGAATTGCTCATGAATGAATGCGTCTCTTCCTCCTTGACGAAGATGGGAGAAGCCTGTGCCACCAGTGCCACGTTGGTCCATGAACTGGCGGTTGACCAATTTGAGTGTGGGAAGTGTTATCTGTACAGTGGCGTTTGTTAACAGAGCAGCCGCCCCATTACCTACCTTTGAACTACCTTCTTGTCCAGTACGCATTCCGCACTCCTCCAAGCCAAGCACCACTCCAATTTAGCAATTCTGTATATGTTTGTGCTTCTGTAGGACACTGCAGAAGCAGGTGCTCACCGATTTTGGTTCGCTCCTCTACCTATCCACTTATTTGTCCATCACAAATGGGAAATGACGAAACCTCCCCATTGGAGACAATCAAAATGGCTAGATTATTGACTATTCAAGCCCTCAATTCACTGATGTGAAAAATTTTACCTACGCGAAGCTGTCATGGCTTAGGTTAGTAATGATTATTTGGCTGACGCTGATTCTTCACACCCTCTTCTCGTAGTCATCCCACCAACACTTCTATTCTGTCACTTATCCGTTGTCAGTAGCATGACTTCATCCCGATTCGGCCGGATGCTTGAAAGGTGGGATGGAGGTCCACATATTCGAGAAGGAGTAGTTGTACTGAATGGAATTTGCAACTTTGCAAAAGGAGATGGCAATCACCTCAGCAAATGACACAACTCAGCTATCCTTTTACCGACTTTTCCCCGTCCGAACGACCTCATTCACTTGACTTGGCATTCACGTCAAAAGGGGCAGAGTGACAACTCACCATCCACTGCTTTCGGTGACATCACTAGGCGCATCACAACTGTGGAAATGCGAGGACTCTTCACTCCACTAAATGCCCTGAAGGCAGACACCTCGGCGTTGCCAAATTCCCTGCATCCGTGGTGGGAGGCTGAAAAAAATTGCAATTGCACTGACAGATCGTTTTCAAATCAGGATATTTGATGAAGCATTTTTCATGATACAGAATTGTTGCCACCTCAACCTTCCATTCACTCTAACTCCTACGCATTTTGGTTGAAATCACTCCAATTGCCCCGTAGTGTCTGGAAGCTTTCTTGCATTCTTGGTTTGACAATTCTTTATTACTACACCAAAATGTTGGGTGACTGGACAGTTGTGGGATGCCAAGACGCTGCTTTTAATGACTCCTTTGGTTAAGAAATACTAGCGATCGAATTGAGGTAGTTGGGTTTCCAAAACACGTGGTTTGAGGTTTTGCTTCCAATTTTTATTTGGAAATGACGTTTCTCAATAACTCTATAATATTCGTACCCCTCAAAATTAATGCAACTTTCGTCTCTTATTCCTTTAATGGAACTGCTGCCCACCAATGGTTAGGAAGGGCGGAGTACCATCACCCTTGTCAGACGATTTTACTGCAACAGTTGACTACATTCTAAAGTGTCTCTGTAACTTAACAAATGACTGACCTGCAGCATCACCATTCATGCGTCTCGGTTGAGTCCAGAGTTGGGGGTATTCGAGGTGGATTCGAAGCACCTCCTTACTGGGTGCCAGTTTTGGAAAATTTGCATTTTAGCCTTGGGAGTCAAGCCACTCGCACGCAAAGGCAGTCAGCATCTGTGGACCACCGGTTGATCTCTTGCGCCGGCCGCCGTGCGCAGTTGTTCCAAATCTACTGTCAACTTTTGAGAGCTTGTGCCAGTGCACTAACAGTTGACTTTTGACGTGTAGAAATCAAATCAATCAGTGTATCAACGCATGTGGCAGTACATGTCAAGCCAAAAGGGTGTGATGATCAACAACGCAACAGAGGCGATAGCTCGAGTTAAACGAGGCGGCTACGCTTACATTCTCGAGTCAACAATGAACGAGTACTTCACTCAACGCAATTGTGACTTAATCCAAATCGGAGATAATCTTGACTCCAAGGGCTATGGGATCGGATTTCCACAAGGTCAGTTCATTCTCCTTTTATGCACACCCATCTCAATCACCCATCGCAAACACACAAGGTTATGAAATGGTCAACGGACTTCCAAAAGTTATGCTGCTTACTATTCACAAGATCACACCAAAACCCGCTAGTTTGCTCTACTAGCCAAAATGATGAGAAGGCAGAGACAATCTGCAACTTGTTCGACTACATGACCCACTTGACCTTGCAACCTCTTTGCTTTCCTTTCCGTATCCTGAAGACAGTTAAATTAATATTTATTATGAAGTTATGAAAAGATTTGGAGTTTGACGTCAGGCGTAACTTCACTAGCACTTCGGGTATGCGTCCTTACACCATGAAACCCTATTTTATGCCATCTATGCTTCGCAAGCACCATAGATGTCAGGACTTTGTCCATTTGGATTGGAGTTTCTTAACATTTCCAGGTGCATGGCACCCCGAATAAATTCAGAAAAATTAACTGCCTCTTAGAACCAGATGCACTAAAAGAACTTAATTGTTTTGTTAGACATCGTATATAGCATTGTGTACCTCCATCACAGTGGTCAGAACCTGTACAAAATCAGAAGACATTATAAAAGCATCGTTCTGCCATCTTTTCCGTAGGTTCAAAATACCGGGATGCCTTCACAGAAGTCATTCTACAGCTTCAGGCCTCACAGCGCTTGGAGCAGATTCGCCACCACTGGTGGCGGTACTACAACATTACCACCCCATGTAGCGAAAAGGTAACTAAGAACAAAGACACCAGTTCGCTCGGAGTAGAACAAATTGGCGGATGCTTCGTTATGATCCTCATTGGCCTTGGGGCCTCTGTTCTCATCAGCTTGCAGGAGTTCTTATACAAGGTCTATCACCGTGTCACCATTACCAAGGTGAATTCTTGAAAGTGAAGCATTATCGTCCCCACTTCAATACTTGCCTCACACCAACGTAATTTTTGCCTTATCAGATTTCTCCTTTGCTGGAGACTTTTGGCCCCCTATGTGTTTTCTTAAAAATAACTCAAAGTTAAGGTGTTCAATTCGACTTGAGGTCCACATGGCGAATAGTTAGAAAACAATTGGCAATTGCCTATTTAAGAGACATCTGTTTTACGCTTTGTATTAAATACTGCCTACTGATGATGCATTTCAGTAGAAATCATTTTGTATGAGTGATTACTCTTAAGTGCATTTTGAAGGTTTTTTATCAAAGTGCTACCAATTCGTGCAGTGGTATAGATGATTTGCCATTTATTGTAAAGGCGATCACATGATACAACTAGTTACCTTCCTATTGGCTACTGACCAGAATAGAACCGTGAACTAGCATAAAAATAGTATATAGTTGTTCTTCTAAATGGTCATGACTGATAATTTTTAAACCTACCAAAATTGGTTTTTGATTGATACAAAATTCGCAATGATTAAGCATGCCGCTGATGGAGACAAAGGTTGGCAAGGCGCCCTAACGATAAAGCGGGTTGAATGAATAGTAAGTAAAAGTGTCGTTCGAGGTTATGTAATGATTTGGCCGCATGATTGACAGTAATTGCCAAACAGCAGCTATTCATGCAGTTAGCACTCATTTATTTGCCTGCCTTGCCATTTGCGCGTCTCTGTTACTTGATGTAGATACAACACAAATTGCTGTGCCAATCGTTGATTGAAGAAACATGACCAAGAAGAGAATTGATGGGCCGGTTTATAAGTGGTTTGTAAGAAGTTCAAAGTGGTGTCTTAAACGGCACCTATAGGGATGGGTTCTGGTGGCGCGATCTCCGTCACCACCTTTGTAAAGTGAAAGGTGTTGAAAGAGGCGAATAAGAAAGAGGATAGGAACGATGTTCGTTATAGTGAAATGCCACACATTTTCCTTTACGCGACATCAAAGTCATTCAAACGAAGATGTGCTTTCCTTTCGAATTACATCACGGTTTGAAGCAGCTTGAAGCTAGAGCTCTACATTTTCCTGCTTTCCGTATTAACTGCTTTTATCCACACGACTAGATGGTAAGTTTCGACCTGCTCATTACAAATGACCTCCATGTTGCGTGGAGTAAGTGAAATGAAACAATGTCACTGACCGGGAAGTCTCTCAAATCATGAAAGTTAGATTCTTTGGCCTCAATTAACGAGTTCTGATACGTCTGAAAGGCTAAGAAGACTTTGTTTTTTGGAAATATTTTGTGCTCCTAAATAGTTTTCCTGTAAATAATTTTATAAGAAATCTGAAATAAAATGGATAGTTCCAAGACCGTATATCAACGCCGTTTCCTGTCCTGCCACCTTTGATGATTTGGAGCGAAATACAAGGGTTCGAAATGGTTTTAAGATCCTAGAATTTCATTGTCAAACATTTTTTGCTTATCATCTTGCTGCCACGTTTGCTCTCAGCGTCCTTTCAGTGAGGAAGTGGCTCGCGAATTCCGTTTCTCCATGGCTCGTTCAAGCACTCGAGATTTTGGTGCCGAATCGGCGCTGCGTTTACCACCCCCACCACTACCCTCGCAATGTCTACTTCCGTCGAAGGAGTGTCGTATGGCAGCTTTGGCCTACGCACCCTGTCTCCCTGCCGTAGTCCGAACTTCTCCACCTGCTTCAGCAACGGGTACTGCGGGGAGTGTGCAGCCAGGAATGAGACGCAGTCGATCAAGCGATTCTCGACGCCCCTCGGCTCTGGAAGTAGCGCGAATGCATCGACGAGCATCATGTCGGAGGTCAAGTTCACGCTATGCACTGAAGAATAGCCCGCAACCATCGCAAGGTCAGTAAAAACGGAGAAAATAAGACTGATTTTGGATTAACCAGTTGACTGGTAATTAGTAACATAGGTGGATACGTAGAGAGTCTGAGAGTTAATTGTGAGGCAGAGGTATCAACCTTAACGATGGAGTAAGGCATCAGGGCAGTTGGGTGGAGAGCTGAAGAAAGGTCATGCATAGGGATTAAATAATAGGTAGGCACGTAAATGGGCGGACATGCAAATTTGTGTAATGTATAGATAAGGTAATGGAAGTCGAATTTGCTGATGTCCTCCAACATCGTCCAGTTCCTCGTCATTACACTTCCCTTTAGCCACCAGTAGTGAAGGTCCAATCAATTCCGCCAATGCGAATCCTGCCTTTATTTCCGACTCGACCCGAATCCTCCACCCGGTGAATGGTGTTAGCGCTCCTGTTGAAATTAACACGCATCGTCTCATGGCTGTAAGTGGACAGTCAAACGATCTCCGTCGATATCCACCCCCACCACCACCAATCCCTCAGATCGGTTTTGTCGTCCGTGGCAATGGTGATACCTATCCTCCACCTCTAGCTGGTCCAACTGGTAGAAGTTATGGGGACATCCGAGTAAAGAAATTCACTTGTTGAAGGGAGGCATTACTGAAGTGGAATTGAGTAGTAGCTAAAATGTGTAGTCCTGTCAGAGTGAAAAGAAATCTAATCGGTTCGAAAATAAAACTTTCTTTAATATTGAGCTAAAACTTTTGTGGCTCTTGATGAATGATGAAGAGAGAGGGCTGGTTTGGTTTGAAGTAGCACAGTAGACAGGAACAGATGATTTATGATTTATTGTACGCAAAAAAAGTTAACAAGTGTTATTAAAAGGCTCATTTTTGAATTATGGAGTAATGTGTTGAAGCATTTGCTAAGTCAATTTGAATTATAAATAAAGTCGAAAGGTGGACATATCAAGAAAAGCCATAAATGTCAAAGACCTCCCACAAAATGTACTCCGATTAAGCAACAGCCACAATTACTGCTTCACAGCACAAGGTTAATCGCATCAAGAGCGACACTGAGTCAGATTCGCACTGACAAGCATAAAACAGTGAGCTAGATCGGCATCGATAACTTTTAGTGGTTTAACTGGCAAATACTTTCAAGGGACTTCCATGAACTACGCAAAAGAACATCGGCAACTGTGGTTTTTGGTAATTAGTTTGAATTCTTGATAGGTGTCGCATAATTGGTTGTACGAACAACCTTCGCAATTGCAGCATTACCAGCTACATAATACTATAATACTCTATTCATGTGGTCACCTGATGTCGGTCTATTACGTTGGGCTTCGAAAAAACAAGCCCAACTTTTCTTTTAACGACTTATGTTCTGTTTGCGACATATATCTGCGGTGCGAAGTATGCGCATGTACACTGCATGGGAGATTTTCTGAACTCTTCACAGCAAAAGGGTTGAGTATGATGTCTGCGTTTGGCTTCACCTTGTCCCGAGTTTCACGGGCAAGCTATTAATAACTGGTAGACACCGCCGTAAGCCATCTAAAAGAATGTCGTGTAGGGAATCTCTCTAATGAATTCGCATACGGATGTCGGAAATGACACTACTGATCGCCTTATATAAGGGACTGTGTCCGATGTTGTTCCTTCCCGTAACACGTCCGTTTTGGTCCTAGAAGCAATTAATGGTTAACAAATATAGGTGTACCGTCTCGAAACTTCCCACCGGGTCAAAGCAGACATTAGGTGGATCTGAATGCATGCATTCCAGAGAGGACAAAGAGATTAGACCTGGGCGTGGCTCGAAGGTCAGTCTACGCGTGCAAGGGTCAGACGAATCTTCAAGTAACCGCCAGACATCTAATGGTCACATTAAGAAGGCATTATAGCATGCAACTCCAAATTGAGCTGGAACTTAAATCTAGATCAGGTTGAAGTTACTGAGTAGACCGAGTATCGTTTCTCAGCCTCATAGTAGCTGTCGACTAGCAAGGCTGGCTCGTGGCTGCTTTCTTGCAGTACCAAACATGCTGAGATATCTGGTGCTGGAGGTGTACCAAGGGGAGCACTGAGAACTTTGCTTAAACAGGAGACTATTAGTTTGTGTAGGAACTGCCCGCCTAGCCTCATGCTCTTGAACCACGGACTTCAAGAGAAGGTTATTTGCAAGAGATTTATTAGGCATTGATTGCAGGAAGAATGGGGATAGGAGTATGGATGAGCTAGATGGCAGATATCAGCTAGCGAGGGATTCCTCACGGTCTTCATGCACGAGACTCGCGTTCCAGTTTTCCCGTCTCTCTCCTATAAAGGTTCACTTAAGCACTAGTATATATTACACTTTGGAATTCATCTAGCTCTTGTACACGTGGGCTGGCCTCAGGACAAAACTTGGGCCTAATCCATTCTACTGTCTCCAGAATACATGCATTCAACTAAAACTAATGCCTTCTTCTGACAAGATGGAAGTCTCGGAGCTCTATAATACCTTTCACAGTAATAGCAAAGCCAAAGTGGTATGTAAAAGTTAGCGGCGAACAGAAAAAGCCAGTCTCAGAAGAATAAATTCTATTGAGTTACTCCTTTTGGGAAGCTTTGCAAAAGCTGTTAAGTTTTGGTCATTGTGTCCATTTTCTGTTAGGCCTCATGGAGCTTATGTGTATGCATGGAACCAGAATACGGATAAAATTAATGACGCATGTTGTATTATAGTTGGAAGGTATGGATTAGTCAACTATCTTGGCATTTGCTTAGCCCAATTTGTTTCAGTGACATGACTACGTATAGCAGGAGTTTAAAAGCTAACTGCATTTAACCAATCCAGGAATGTCATCTCGGGCGCTCAAAAAGCTGGCAGGCTTAGATGCTTTAGATGAGCAGGTAGAAGTATGGGATACTGAAGAATTGACTCCCACATCCAAGCCATCTATATTTTCTATGGTAATTTTTTTTGTTGCATTTTTTTCGTACTCGAGGTTTGTTTACTTGCAGATTCTCTGATATCTTGTAGTTCGACGTTCCGAAACTGCTGGAGGAGAATGCACCTGGTTCGGATAGCGGGTCCGCCCAAGGAAGCGCCAGCAGTCAACCGTTTCAAAATCAAAAACGTAACAGAAAACCAAAACGAAACAAGAAAAAGTCCGCCAAATCTAAACACGTTGGTGTTCAAAGTATTAACCAGTCTCCCGAAATTACCGAAGATGATATCCTGTTAGAAGCAGCTCAGAAAAGCCACTCTGATCAGGAATCGCCAGGTGCTAAGACGTCTACGGTAGCCTCCATAAGACCCACGGATCTTTTGGTTGTGAACAGAAAATTTCTTGACTATCGAGCTGAACTTCAGCGAAAGTTCGGATCTGCTTTAACACCAGATGCTCGGAAGCGCTATTCTCTCCCATTCGGTCAGCTGGTTCGACCAAAAGCTACGTGGCCGCCATTGGTAAATTATGGCCAAGAGATGAAAGCGTCTACTGATGCTAGTGGTGGTTCTGTGTTTGCGTTTACACACAACAAGGAATATTCAAAGCATCAGAAGGCTTTTTACGCTCTCCAGGATATGGTGAATCCGGACACGCTTTCGGTGAGTGTTGATAAATGATGTCCTTGCTCTCGCGATATTGAATCACTAGTTCACGCTTTAAAGAATGGAAGGGAGTGTTTTATAGCATTAAAACATTGGTGTTTTTAGATATAATGACAGATTTACTCAAAGAGTTCTCAAATTTTTTGGCTCTTCGACATAACGTCCGTCTCAAACTATTTTAAAGTCTAATTGTATGGTTTCTGGTCTTTTGAAATAGTAATAATAATAATAATACTAAAGTAACTGCCAGACATCAATTGGCCGCATTAACAAAGTATTGCGGCAAGTATAACTGTGCGAAATTAATTCCATGTTTGGTTGAACTCTTCTCGTCTTAGCTTCTAGGTCCTCTCACAAGTCAGGCCCTTTTTGGTCGCAAACAAGGTTTTCAACTTTGAGTTGGAAATAGTTGCTATGTAACAATTCTTTCTATTCTTCCACAAATTTTTGGTATTTCATAGTAGTAGAAAAGCAAAGGGTGGAATTGTTGTCTCCGCGTGTTGAAATGTCTCTTGCCTAACTATTTGTCATGAGTTTTAGCCTGCCTTGTTACTCTGGAGTAGGAGTGTACTTGTAATTTGGTGTAAATGACATTGTGGAAGAAGGAGTAGGTATGCATCATACGCAAAATGAGAAGATCGAAGGCGTGGTGAGCTGGTATTTAAATGGTTTATTTGAATGTGTTGGAGGGATTTGATTTTTACTCGCGCATTTACATTAGCAGGATCTAGCCTGGCAAACACTTATCGTTTACCACGATAATCAAATTCTCACGAACAATGACGTAGGAAGTGATATCTGTGCTCAGTGTTAAGGGCGGTGAAAAGTCAGAGCCCATAAGGACTAGTTCATTGGGTTTCGCTTTCACAAAGGTCCTCTTGAGTCATAGGCGACTCCTCAAAATGTGCGCTTATTACTCATTAAATTTTCGGGTAGTCCTGAACTTGTGAGCACAGGAGGCCGATTATTTCTGAAAGAATATGGATATGGCATCAAAATGTCCGCTTATGAAGGCAGCTTACATTGTGATAGTGATCAGGTCTGGATTGCAAAACATGTACTATTCCAGTGGTTGCTACGGATTGATGAGGTAAAACGTGGCTGACTTCAAGTTTGACTTGATCATGGTAATGCGGTTTGCTCCAGCAAATGATGCATTACGGAAGGAATCTCAGTGCTGTTGAACTAGGGAAACACATTGTCATTGTTTGCTATCGGCATTTGTTACAATTAAATTATCTCAGGTCTACTTTTTTTTCTACTTTTCCCTTCAGTCATAAATCGCTGCTCATTGATTGCCAACGGTCAGCGTACTACATTTAAATAGCAGCTGCATTTACTCGGTACTGCAGTTTTGATACCCATAGCTCTTGGCATTCTTGCTAGATCTGCATACTTCAAGTTTCCTGACAGTTTTTTCAGACGTAATGTATGGTGGGTAGATAGCCAATCTCATCTACTAGCTGCCTTATCCTGAAGGAGGTTGTATTTTCCTACTTCTGGGAGGGATTTCGCCCGCAACATTCATGACACTTGTTAATGAAGTGAGAAATTTTCACAAGCTCTGTTTCAATCGCTTCATCAACTTATTCTCTATATATTTTTTTTGCCATCTCAGATGGTTCTCTCCAAGGCTCCTTATCATGTGGACACTCTACTACATCTTAGCGACTATCTGATGCACCAGGATCAATCTGAAGCGGCGGTGGATATGATGGAGCGTGCTCTATACGCTTGCCAATCGTCATTCCATTTGACTTTCAACTTTGCAACTGCCTCTTGCCGTATGGACTACAGAGTGCAGGAGAATCGAAGCTTCTTTGTCGCTATCTTCCGTTATCTCTTCTATGTCGCCTCTCGGAGTTGTTATCGTGCAGCACTGGAGTACAGCAAGGCTCTGCTTCTGTGAGTCAGGCCGGTTAAATTGCGCCAATGATAGTGTATAACCCATGTTGCTACTGTATCTAAAGGCAGCATGCAGATTAGCAATTGGCTGTATCTAAAGAAGTTGTATGATCATTCCCTCTTAGAGCAGTTACGAAGCTCATGAAAATAAAAGATGACGCTCCACTATGTCTCGGGTGTTATAGTGAGCAGCGAGTTTACTCAAGACGCATTTATCTCCGTTGGCTTGCATGTGCATTGTGGAAATCAACCGCCTACGGGTTTCGAATTCTAGAGTTGGCTGTGTTATTGGTTTACTGAATGCATAGCGCTCGATATGTCAAGCTCATCACAGCTTCGAACACAAGAGATCGAGGATGTTCAAGACTGGATAAAGGTTACCAGATGGCACACAATTGGGTTCATTTGAGAAGTCGAATGAGATCGTTGAATTTACCAACACCATTTCGGGATAGTTTTAAGTTAATGTAATTGTATTCATGCAACAGGTTTCAGATAGGGAAGCATTTTTGGAAGCGGCTTACTTGATACCTGATTCAGCTTTACGAAGTGCTATGCAGGGGATATTTAACTGAATGCTTTCATCGGCCTTGAGGTGCTGCCCTTAGAGATATCTGTTTGGAGTCAAGATTTTGATTCACTTGCCGATGTGGAGTAGAAGTTCTGACCTTTTTGTCAAAGAACTACATAAAATCATTGAAGAACTTGACTTCTGTGCTGGTCAAAAGCACAGAGGTTACTTAGCCTCTGGCATATATATGCTGCAGACATCCGCGAATGACACACTTGAATAACAGTACCGGTTAAGAACATTTAAAGTTAGGTATCTTGAGTTGGGCACTACTGTACTATTAGTTCCTCTCTCCAGACTAGATCCAGACAATGATCCACTGGCGATCGTTCTAGGCATTGACTTCTTGGCTATTTCGTCGGAAGAGTATGAATTCCTCACGAGTTTCTACGACGCCTGGAATGTAAGTTAGTTTGAGGTTGTAGAGGCAAGCGACTTCTACTCGGTACCACTATTTTCACTTTCCCTTGCAGCCAAAACGGAATCTGAATCTTCTCCCAAACTTCGCCTTTTCGATGCCGCTCGTACGGTGGTTGCAGCGAAATCGGCCGCGGAAGCGAAAACAGGGAAGGGATGTCCTTGAGCCTGCGGAAATTGATAAGATGGTGCGTCATTGCTGTGATGCTTCCCATCATATCATTTTGTTATGAAACAATGAGCTCGAAGGATAAGGTTGGTCTGATGTTATACTACGAATTAGATTGAGATCGGACCGTGTCGGAATTTATGATATTATAACTCATTTTTGAGAAAACAATCTCACTTTGTTGATTGTTGATACCAAGTGTCACCACTGCGATATTGCTGAGCACATGCACGCATTGATTGTACTGGAAGGAAAGGCAAACCATCCTATCGCATTTTGGATATTTAGATTAGATTACAACTTATCAGTTGATCGACAATTTCATTTTATTTCTTGCTAAGTTGTGTTTGTGTTTTTTGAGCTATATTCGCTAATCAATTAATTGCGTTTTTATTGCGTCTACATCATTCGTCACGAACCGAGGAGAAATAGTTGCATCTGTAAAGTGAATGCAAGGTTTTACCTTGACCTACGGGAGGCTGCATTTCTTTTTTGTCACATTCAAGCTGAATCGCACCGCTCTGCGTGCGTGTCGGTGAACCTGTTACGGACGCAGGACAAAGGAGTCTGGCTTGATTGAATTACACTAGATTCATTGCGTACATGATTTATGCGCTTGCATGTTTGTTAAGCTTTAACCTTTAACTGGAGGCTTCTCCTTCATTTGTAGCTTCAAGATGCCCTAATCATGTTTCCTGGCTTTCTTACCCGTCTGATGCACCACGTCAAGGTTGGTGGGACGGACAACCTGGACAAGTCAGTCCTCTTTGGCAAGGAAGTTCGACTCTCGTAAGTTCGCTTATGCCTTATGGCCATCGCTGATTGGGAGTAGCTGAGTGTCGAGCTTCTGATCTCTAAGTCAAAAAGAAGTTCCCGGAAGTGAATTTTGGTTGCTTGTGATTAGTTGCGTAAATGTGCTAAGCTGAAGGATACCTGGAAGTACTTCCGTGGGTTCACCAGTCAGGGTATTGTTAAGCTTTCAACTTTCATTTGTTAACTTTTTTTTTGGCACTTCCTTAGTTGATCATTTGATAGTATTCACTAAAATTGGCACTGAGTTAACGGGCAAAAGCCAAACTTTGAGCGTCGGCCAAAAGTCATTTATCAAAGACAAATTTTACGATCTTTGTGGAAAGTTTTGTGTCGTGTGTTTTCCGTCAATGTTATCGTTTGAGTTTCCTGTGGAGGAACCGCATTCTGGAATGCGCATTTATCGTTTTAAAATGCCTAAATGCCGAGCGTTGTAGCCTTTCAAGAGCACTATCCAACAAAATCTTCAAGAAGTTGCGATGTGTAAAAGCCTACAAGCACCTTAATTATTTATAAATAAAAAGTTCCTTTAGCTCCAATAAATGTATTTGAGCTTACAAAAGAAACACTTCAAATAACGTGCGATGCGCACTCATTCTTTGAAATGGCCTGTCACCACTTTCATCTCCTTATCCGACAAACTTTGGACAAGCACTTGCAAAATGAGGAACAGTCGTACACCACAGCCTTTTAAAGCCTCGTTCCTTCTAGATCGAGTGGTCCATCTGCTTAATTAGGTGTATTGGGTTCAGAATCATCGCGGCTGGGATTATCATTTAACTCTCTAGTATTCAATGATATTTGGACTTGCCTTGATGTGCTTTAGGCGCTCGGACAAGCGCTACTATGGGTGCTAAGCTGTTAGCATCTATAGCATACCTTTTTTGTGGTCGTGTGCCAAATTGAACTTGGTTAACTTATTTTCACCCCTCGGCAATCATTTGACAGAAAGAAACTACGAATAGAAACAGAAATTTGGGCTATGCACAATCGGTGCAGATGGCATACTGCATTGTGCAAAATGTCTAGACGTACCATATTTGTAGTGATTTGCGTCTTCTGTCTGTAGGGAAAGTGAGAGTCTAAGTCGTCTGCTAGATCTCTATGTATCTCAGTCGCGCTACCACTGGCAAGAGCCCGACGTCCTTGCTTGGCTGGAAACCAATGTGGTGTCTGTTCTCAACCTCGTGGAACCCGTTGTCGTAGGCTCTGATTCCGGTTCTGTCCATGGGCGCAATGTCCAACCGGACGAACGGCTCAGGTTGTACTCAGAGAGGTGAGTGGGTGAATTGCCAAAGGCCATGGTTCGACTTGATTTTGAAATCAATAGACTAAGGTTTTCCAAGAGCCCACAGTCGTTTAATGTTATTTATTTCCAAAACCTTGTTGGCTTTTTTGGGCACAAGAAATGCCACCATAATAAGATCGATTGCGAAGAGAAGACATGCTATTGAGACCACGTTCTTGCAATTTGCTCTTTCATATTGCAGGCGGAAACGACTCTACACTCAACCGCCTCGCAACATTCTTCGTTATATCTTTCTTCGAGATCTTCCTGACGTCCCTCCCTTTGTTCCTCCGGTAAAATATCGAAACTTTGCTTCGTTATTTCAGTGCATCTAGTTAGGCATATCATCAAGCCGCCTACATTGATGATTTGTAATTTAGGCACTTGCCAATCAACAAATTTATCCGCTGGATCCCTTCCCACCTACAGATGCCATCAATACGTACAATCCAGAAGCTGAAAGGTAAGTCATTTTCTAATCACTCAGCCCCTTCGTGGTGTTAGTGATGAGTTTTAAGTGTTAAGAGTAAGGCTTCTGGTGCAATCCTGCATTCATCTCAGTATCATTCAACCGGTATTGGAAAGTCACTGTATGTGAGGCGCTCTGGAAGTTATATGTGCTTGGTATGGAGCCAGTCGGCATTAGGCCCCGTCTTTACGGTGTCTAAACTGAGGGCACTTTCCATGAGACACTTGCTGGAGCTCCAGACGGACTATCTCTAGTTCAATGTATTAGAGTACTTCTTCATGTGAATTTGCCTAGTAAAAGTTTCCACTTTTTATCTCCATGGAATTTTACCCCATCTTTGACCTTTCGTTCTTATTTAGGAGACAGCATGAAAACACGGAGGGTGGGATCATGGGTTTCTTGAGTACCCTCTTGGGCACACTGTGGCCTGCTGTACCGTTGCGAGAGGAAGTTGCTGACTTAAACACCATCCTGGCCGAGTTTGGCCTCGCGGTAGTAGAGGAAGTCGATCCCGAAGCAGAGGCGGAAGAAACAGGGAACGAGACACTCCCTCATGATTTCGACTAGCGGTGATATCCGTCGACTTGCCATCTCCCTTCTGCGTGATCGTGAATGAATTGAAGGAGATTGACCGCTGTCAATCCCCCCTCATTTGTGTTCTCTGCAAAGACTAGCTGATAGTCAGTTATCAAAGTAGAGGGTGCCCACAAAGCTGCAGGGGTCTGATCATAACGGGTCTATCAAACGATAGATGCGTTACTTAATCCAAAAAATCGCAACCATTTAATACCAAGTCGCATTAGTTCGTTGTTTTCTTACATTCACTAAGCTTGCTATGTTAGCGCTGCTACAAACTTCGGCTCTAAAATCTTGGAGGTCTTCTGGTTCCACTAAGGTCTACAAGTCTGATGGCACTTCTGGATGAGTATTTCTACAAAATGACGCGAGCAAGCCAGCACTCCACTGTACAACGTTTGAAAATTATGTCTTTAGGATGGATAATGGTAATGAACCTTCTGGAAACGGTTACCAGTGAGCCAGTGTTATCGGATGATCTAAAGTTCGTTCGTACCTCTCACATGCTCGCTCTGATACTGGTTAGCTAGTTGCTCAATTGTTGCATCTTAGTTTTTTCCCATTTTCAGTAAACTGAACCTGAGTGAGTCTTCATTATGGATTATAGAATAAAGCCAAAGGGTTTCTGTACAGTAGACACATATAGAGACTGAAACCGTAAATGCTCCTGTTGTGAGAGGTCAAAAAACAAGTCACTCTGTTGCCTTAAAATACACAAAAAAGACTCAGGGTATGTCTCCTGCATTACACAAACTGCTGTAAATTGGAACTGACGTCAACTGCCTTGCCAAAGTAACGAATTGGGGCTTCAAAATCCACACCTCGATCCCATCTTCATCCCCACCGCTAACCCTATGCAAAGGGGGATTAGCAAGAGCTCGCAACAGCGCCCTAAAATGACGCCCAGTTAATCCGCCATCCCTTGCGGTCGAAGTTTGTTTCCTCGTAGTCAGAATCTCTTTAAAACGCTCGGCTATGGTCCTCGTGCTGGTGGACGGGATGGCGGGATTGTCTTCGGTAAAAAGAACAAGAAGGCTAAGAGCCAGTTTCCTAAGTTCCTTCTCCTGGTTTTCCACGCCTAATGGACCTCCTCCATGAAGCTTCGAAGCGTTCGTTGAAAGTTCCATACTTCGATGACGACGCTCACGGATAAGTTCTAGCAAAAGACGAGAGCTCAAACGATTGTGCCCAGTGAAGAACAGATTATATGAAGAGCTTCCTGGTCTCAAAGGACTTGATTCGCCTTGTAGTTTGTGAGCAAGCTAAAAGGAGAAATATTAGTTATACGAAAGAACAATTAGCAATTGCCCTCCCTTCCCTCCCTTACATAGAGCGGGCAACGTGCCTCCCTTGGCGACCAGAGGAATCGATTCTTAACTAATCCAAAGGTTACGCCAGGTACTGCCTTTAATGCAACCCATGGTATCTCATCTATTTGCTCTGTCTGAGATTTCAACCAGGCGACAACGCCACTGGCTAATCGTGACGCTTGAAGACGCTCTAATGCCGGATCCACGCGTTTCTCAGACAGAAAGTCGTTCACCAACTTGTCATGGTTAACACAGGTCAGGCCTCGCAAACGCTTCTTTATCACTGAAATTGTCCTCTTCTTCCTCTTCTCGGTCTTCTTTGTTATTGCCTTCAGAGCAGCCTTGGCAACTCTTTTAGCTTCAATTTTCATATCTTCATCCACCTCCTCTCGCTTCCGCTTCAAAATGGCCGATCGTTCATCCGCATTTGCACCACAAATTACTGAGGCGACAAAAGGATCAAAGTCCTCTTTTTGACGTTGCTTATCACCACCTCTTGCGTCCCCCTCATCGTATCGGGACTGTCGCTCAACCCCGCGAATCCTGCGTCCATCCACGTGGGTTCCGAGTCGAGTATAGTGATCTACAAGTCGTCTGCTTAGTCGTCGAGCCTGAGCTCTCAAACGTGCCTCACGTTGGGCTGGTGTTTCTTCCGCCTTCTTTGCTTTTTTCTTCACTTCCAGTACTTTTGATTTAACTTCCTCTTCGTCCAACGTGCTGACACCCCGAAGGTGAACCGGATGACTCGCAAAAAGGTGATCAAAGCGGTTCTCCGTTACAGCTTGCTTGGGCACTCCAATGGCCTTGAAAAAGGACACCGATTTGGGCCTCTGGCCACCGTTTGCATCAGAAGGGCGAGCGTCCCCGAGGGAAAATAGTTCACAAAGGCTGTTGACTTTGAAAAAACGTTGTTGGCGCGGGTTCTTCAGCACCCGATTGGCGAGGAATTGCTTGAAGATTTGCCTAAAGAGATGGACGATATAAGTGAAACAGATAATGGAAGCGATCAGTTGAACTTAAATTCACTCACCCCCACTTCGGCAGTAAACGAAAAGATCGGGAAATGCTCCCTTTTAAGTTAAAGATCGTAAACTTGCAAAGATGGCATTTAGTAATGAAATTCCACGGATAGATATTTGTGTTCGCCTCGTAAAAAATGAACGCGCAATGAGAGAAATAAGGTGAATTAAACTAATGCGTAAGCGAAGTATGCAGTAAGCAAACATTTTTGCGCCTGACAGCCAAGCAAAGACTGATAGATCGGATGAGATGAGGTCTACTGTTTTACACTTCTGCGCATTTGAATGATTTATAAACAACCAAAAGCATCGTCCAGTTCAACCAGAAAACCCTTACACGATCACAGAGTTCTTTAAGAGACGAAACACAGAGCCCTAAATTGACTTTCGAATTGAGGATATGAAGTATTGTCGGTGAACATTAGCCAGCCTAAAACAGCTCGCTAACCGTGCAAGACTCGAAATTCTTGAAACTATTTTTCTTCGACATTTACTGACGAGCATCTTCCTCAACTTTATATTAAATTCGACTTCAATGTAACATTTGAAAATAGACGTTTCACATGTCGAATTGATCGTTGATAAGAGATGACTCATGTGAGAATGGGCTGGGAAAGAAACCGCAACAACCGAGATGATGAAAAATCGGTTCCATCACACTACCCTGCCATACTTTGACATACGGACGATGACCAGCGTGGTTTACACCTTGACTCGAATGATAACATTCACCATCGTAGATATGCTATCAATTTCGAAAGGCAGTGGAAAATGGCGGATGGACTGGGGTAAGGAAGGCAGGCTCGCCATTAGTGACATCAGTGATCTGCGTCTAAACCCTTGAAAGTGCTAACAGTCTTGCTGCACATATAAATGGTTCAGCAGAACGGTTTATGGGATGAGGAATAAGGTAGTGGTGCAAGGAATGGCGCCTTGGGTGGGGATGATCATGCCGTCAGAACCTTCGACAGAGTCAACGAGAATTTATGCTGTGATACTCTCGTTGTCAGAGGCAATACGAGAAGTGGTCCCAGAAATAGCTGCAATTATCAGTTACCAATTTTACATCCTCCATCACATGTTCAGCGCTCAAGCAGATAAAATCCACTATCAGATTAGATCCAATAGTTAAGACTACTTAAGCCTTCAGAAAACTCATAAATTAGTTAAGGTTGATGGGTCTGAAACATTTGCTCGAAACCTCCAGTTGGCAATCCTGGGATACTCAAACCGCCCACCTTTGATAGACTTTTTCCTCGATCGTCCCGCTGGTAAGCAAACGATATATCATCACCTCACGTTCCTGTCCGATTCTCCACGCGCGCTCTCGGGCTTGCGCATCTGTGGAGGGATTCCAGTCGGGATCAAATATAAGCACCCGATCAGCGCCGGTCAAATTTACACCCAGACCTCCCACCCTTGTGGTGAGAAGGAAGAGGAAAATGTTCTGTGGACCCTCGACAGCAGAGGTTGAATTAAACTCCTCCACGAGACGCTGACGTTGGGCCGTCGGTGTACCACCATCCATACGTAGATAGGTGTAGCCACGACGAGAAACGTGTCGCTCCAGAATGTTCAACATCTTTAGAAAGAAGAGGTGGAAGCTCATACTGCTACTTACTGCCTTTTCTTTACTTGCTCATTGCATAATTAGCTCATAAGACACCACGAATATAGTGGCGCTCAAAACAAGGCCACACTTGCAGCATATGCCGTTCATTTTGCGAAGGCAATTCAGCTTTGTGCTACCACAGCAATATCATGGGTGTATCGTGACCCAATCAACTTCGAACTCAAATGTTCAAGATCCCAAACGTTAGTGGCAATGGATGAATGCAACAGCATTTTAAAAAATGGCGCCACTTTTGAACCAGAAACTTCAATAAAACCCATAGTGTGTAACACAGTGCAGTGCTGGTAGCAAGACAGATAAATGGTAGTGGGATTTAAAAGCGAACTGTCGTAGTGGTTTCGTTCCCATTTCACTGTGATAACCGACACTCTTATAATTAATAAATTCAACGGGACAAAATTTGGGTCTTGAAGGTTTGGTCGACATCTAAGTAGATTTAAAATTATCCAGAAGATTAACTTGTGAAATCAGAAGGTCGGGGAGTCTTGACTACCAAATTAATATCCTGCATTTGATCAGCACAAAAAGGAGTTGTTATATGATGAACCTCCTTTAGATTAAAAAAAATCATGTTGCTACAGCAGCTGTGAAGACACTCAAAATGAGGTATCCTACCCAGATAATAAGACGTATAAAATAATCGAAAAAAATAGAGAAAGTGCACCCACCTTGCGACTCTGTGTAAACAGCAGAACCTTGTGTTTCTGTTCCCACCATAATGCCAACAGATCCAAAGTAACCATTAGCTTCCCGGAGCGCCGAGAGCATCCAAATCGGAACCACTCGTCTCCCTCTTCATGATCATCATCATCACTCTCCCCGTGCCGCATACCAAAGCGTCGCGGACCACCGGTGACGAGATCCGGATGGTTACACAGCTTCTTCAGCACCACTAAACCGCCTAAAACTTGGCCATTGCCATGCATAATATTCTGGCAGATCCGAGAGCTAAGGTACTCCTCGTACACACAGCGTTGATAGTGAGTGAGGTGGCAGAAGAGAACCTATTAGTGAAGGTAAGGCAAGGATGGAAGACTATATATGATTCTCACTACTATTTAGCTAACACCAGCTGCCATTTCCTTTCTCCTCCTACGAACTCATAAATTCTCGGCGAAAAAACAGTGTATTTTTAATACAAAAAAATGTTTTCAACAACCTGAACGGAACCTGAACAAATTGGCCTGCCAATAGCATTAAAGCAGATAGATTAGACAGCTTTTCGATAGTATCCAACGCCGGAATAACAAATACCAAAGCATCCTCTATTTTTCTTATGCAACAAACAACGGTTACTATAAATAGAAGCATGTCCTGATGCTTTCAAGAAGAGTCTGAACACATTGTTCGGGTGAATTAAAAAAATATCAATTTTGTTAAATGTGTCAAATAAAAGCCTCAAAAGGACATTCTAGGATAGGAGCAACAGAACAGCCTTGCTAAATTATAAAAAATCTCACATTACATGTTACTTCACTTATTCAAACTTAAACATTCCATCGTCAACAAAATATCTATCTAGATCCCACCTGTTCAGACTTCTTGGGTAGCTCCAGACGCACCTCTGTCTTTAGCCTTCGCAAGAGGTACGGTGACAGCAGCCGCTTCAAGGCACATGCACAACGATAAGCCGTCTCCACCTAGCAATGACAAAACTGATCACTTCAATCTCTTTCCTACCTCCAGCGGTGTGGCATTCGCATATCCGCCCTGCGTAATCGGCACAGCAAAGTTTACAAGGAAATCCATCATTCCGCCACCCAGCTTGCCTGGATACACAAAATCAAAGATGCACCACAGCTCCTTCAGATTATTCTGCATCGGTGTCCCTGAGACTATTAGGCGATGTGGGGTGAGGAATTGCTTCGCCATAATGGTGATCTCCGCCTGAGGGTTCTTGATCTTATGACCTTCGTCTAGAATCACGTAGTGCCAGGAGAGTGGCAAGAGGAGACTAGAATGCTGAATCAGGGTGCCGTAAGTAGTTAAGGCTATCCCCGATGTCTCGAAGAGACTAGAAACCAAACGGGGCTAGAAGAAAGGAGAATAGTTAAACCTGCTGCTGTCGTTTACTCGAGTGCATAAAACTCAGTCTAATCCGTCTGCAAGTATAAGCTAACAGAAACGTTTATGCCAAATCGGAAATTCGCGTTTAAAAAAGGCTAAACTAGCAAACTAGCGTACAAACTCCATGACTTCTGGCATCGTCATCAGTTGTATTGGCATACCCGCTCCAGGTTAGCTAATTACTTGCAAACATCAACACGAATTTGTCGCCCGTTAACGACAGGAGGCTGAAGATGGTCACGACCGATAACTTTCATCGTTTTGACAAAGGGGTTACTTCCTCCTCAAATTCATTCCAAGTTACATAGTGCAGTAAACAAGTGTTATAAGTTATAAAACTAGACTCAACCTCTAAGGATTATTCTGCCTCTCATCTGATGGTCACTACCTACACTGATAATGGACAGCGGCTGAGGGTATCTGAATCCGTAGTCGCAAATAGAGCCCGTGAACAATAATTAATTTGTGATAACTACCATAATAGACGAAAAATGTATGAATATTTACCGAATCAACGGCGCACATGACATCCAGCGTCCTGTTATCCGACTCGTGATCAATTACAAGTCATGAAACATTAAAAGACGACTCACATCCAAAAGTACCCTTTCCCAAGCTTAGCAGTATGGTGACGCATTTCGACCCAGTTCCCACCTACGACCTATGATATTCTCAAATCAGAAGCTTACGAGATTACTGTATCCCGATCCAGTGGAGTGGACAATGACAACACGAGCAGTCGGCATCCATGTGCGAAATTCTCCAAGCCACTGTTTTAAAACTGTTCCGGGACAGACAATCAGAACCGGTGCTAAACCATCAAAAGCACGGTTCGAAGGTGGATTTTTCATTCGCGAAACAGCGATGTCATAGCTACTACCAGATATCTGCAGCCTGGAGTGATCCAAAGCTGCAAGGAAAGAAATTATCTGGACGGTCTTCCCCAATCCCATTTCGTCACCAAGGATACCACCAACTCCATGTTGATGTAGTCCCCAAAGCCAACTGACACCCTCGCGTTGATAGGCATATAGACGACTCCAAATTTCGCCAGGAACCCGAAGACCACCTTCTAGCACTGTATCTTCCACATCTTCCGTGTGCTGGCTTTTACGATCACGAATTCGACGATAGAAAGAGTTCAAGTCAGCGTCGTCCAAATACACCGATGGACGACATACGCCTCTCGTGACTTGAATAACTTTTGGCGTCGCTGACTGCTTCGTTTTATGCTTAAAAGATGATGATGAAGATGCAGTGACTAAACTTTTAAGATTACTCAGAAAGTCCTACCCTCGCTCACGCACAGCGGCCCATCAGGTTTATTCAGCATGTCTTTACAAGCCACTTCACGCCTGTGCAATGTGTCAAGGAGCTTCATTTTTGTTTCGATTTCATTTTCAAGACGTCGGATATTTCGCTCAGTAGTTCTGTTACCTTCCTCTGTTACACTGCACAGCAATGCATCCAACGAAAGTTCCAGTTTCTTAATATCAGCCTCCGCAAACCTAATTACATCTAGTTCAAATGTAATCGACGTGTTTCTACCTTATATCTTCCTGAATATTTTTAAGGTTCTTTTGTAGCTTGTCTTTTAATTTACAGTGGTTCCTAAGCGTCTCTTCAACTTGTGCACAGACACCGGCATCAAGATCGGCTTCTTCATATGCAGCTTCCAGATGACAATTCGATCGGAGTTCTGGAAGCTCTGCAGTCCTTATTTTTGATCTATCAATTATCATAGCTGAAGAAGCAACCAGATTATTTTGGAGCCAGCTGGTAGACACCAATGACGCTTCAGCATCCACATTAAAAAGTGACTTGAACAAGGATCAATAAAAATATTGAATTTTTACATACTCTAAACTGCAACAAAGTCCTTAAGTGCTAAGAAGCATTTATTGGAGTCGCCTCTAGTGGTTATATGCAAAACTTTTCAACCATTTGCCCAAGCAGAAATAGCATGTCGCTTATTTTAAGCATGAAAAATTTCCTTTATTTTTCAATAAATATTCTAACTAATACCTTTGCTTAGACTAAGTGCTTTAAGAGGCAACACTGCTCTTAAGTACGTTTATAACTTTGTTACATATCAAATTCGCCGTCCATCCTTTGATTTCGTGTCGAACGCGAGTTACAGTGGTTACCTTTAGTTTTTCTTGGCAAGCAAAACTATGTAAAATGCTACAAGTGTCATCAATACGTACTCCGTGTAAATTTTTCCGTAACTTGAAGAAAATTTAGATAGCTTACCACTTCGTCTGTACTCTTGACACAGCTATTCGAGTAAATATACCACCTCGGCGTTCAAACAGCTTAGCGTCACTGGTCGCATATAACTTGAAGTTATGGCAGCTTAGTATTGAAGCGGTAGTCAAAAGCGACAACTCAATCGAAAAACATTACATTCAAGGGTCACATGTGTTTTGTGACCAGTTTAAAAGCACACAATTTAGTTAGTTAGTTCAACCATATACAGTGCCATGAGGGCAAGAGCACGTGCCCTATCAGTAATCAAAATTTGAACCATCTACAGATACTTTCGGTGGAACCAGCTTTTTTGCTGTTTGGTTCAATTCCTCTAAAAATGGGTATTTCCCATTTCGTTGTATAGCCATCTGTAGCGGAAAGATCATCGTCTGTTTCAAATAGCTTTTCCCCTACTGAAATAAATACGGGACTTCTTGCGTCGAAGTTGCATGTCTGTCGCAATACCACGATGGTTGGTTGCATGAAGCACGCTTATTTTATGTAGCACTTTACTGAGTAAGCAATTTATGACCTCAAGTTAAGCCTCTCAGCATCCCAGTTGTGTAACATAGCGTCCGTTGTTGGTATTTACCGCTATTCGCGCAGATTGGACGCGAACCATGATGGGGCCATTGAATGGGGTTTAATCATGGATTTGTCCCAGATGCTTGGTATAATATGCTCAGTAATTGGCAAATGTTACATAATATGGCTCATTTACTGTCACCTTATTCGAAATTTCTCTGTGTTTTTTTTCTCTATCATTCGTTGCGCTCTTGTATTGGGGATGGTGTTTACAATATGCAATCGCAGGAGGTTCCGTGGCATCTTCGGGTGAGTACGGCTACGCTCTTTATGACCATCAAACATGAAATGCGCCACGATAAGAGCACCCATTTATGAGATCAGAAACAATTAGGATGGTTAAATGAGCTCATGACATTTCAGCAGTTCGGCAATTAGCCATGGTAGTGAAAACTCAGCTTCGATTAGAAGCTGGATTTGGGAGTGTCCTACCATAATGTCGCGCATTAGTGAGCTTCTCAGGTCTCACTTTTACTTCGACTTGGTCCGCGTTGTTAGCACTGCAGTCATTACTTCTTCCTCTCTCCCTTCTCTATTTTTATGCCTTCATGTAGACTGCGACCGCTGCTTTTACTCACTGGGAGGGGAAATTATGTCGAGTAATGCTTGTAGTATACATTGGAAAAGGACACAGTTGTTGCCTCACTTCATGGAGCCTTGGATGCAGAATGCCTCATACAATAGGGAAACAACTACAGAATCACAATAAAATTAATGGTATCCTTCGCCACCTTTTTGACTGCCATTTTCGACAGTCAGTTTCTCTTAGTTCTCTTCTATTATTGGACTCCTTACAAACACATCGGATCAGGCTTTTTAAGATCAAGTTACTGTAGGGTCAGCGAATCGGCCTTCTCTCCACAGTATAAGTTAATTCTCAAGGCAAATCCATAAAATGCATTCATTTGGAATTGAGGTATGTATTTGAAAGGAACGGGTATCTTCCAATGTGCATAAGTGAAATTGGAGCTTGCATAGAGGAACTCCAGCCTAAAAGCTATCAAGGAAGCAAGGCTTGCAAATTGTGATGTCGGTGCTGGCAGCGCGACGAAGATGAGCCCGTGTTTCGCAAAGGATGTGATGTTGCTGCACTAGCTGAATACCTCGCAGACCAGCATTTGGCCTTCCCCTTCAGATCATCCCAGGAAGACAGACATACCTCTACTGGAATGAAGGCTGAAAGTCATCGCACGTCATTCAAACGACATATCTCCTGCCTTGCAGACTTTCATGTCAGCTTCCTTTAACATAATTGATGGCTCTGTACCTGTTCTATCAAAGATATGCTCACTACGGTACCAAAGGCAAAAATGTCACTTACCTGGGAAGTGTTGGAGGCCGCTTGTGGTCGTAGAATGGTTATCTCTCACTAAAAGTTGACATGAAGTCCATTAACGCCTCGCATGGTGCCAACAATGAAACCCCAATTCACTTTCAAAATCACGAAGTTGGAGTATTGGGCACCTCTAAGCTGGGAAACAATCCAGTAAAGATCAAAAAGGAGAAGCATGAGAAAATTGGAATGAGGATGTGCTTTTGGGCACAGTTTAAAAGAAGGTATAAAAGGCATTTAACGCCGAGATTTCTGCTCCAAAGGCAGGAGAATGAAGCAGAAGAAGACTTTCCTGAGCTTACCTGCAAAGACTGCCAAACTCTCCAATAAAGGCGATTCGCTTAAAGTCAACGAAACCTGAAAACAGGCCTTCAAAAAACCTTGTGAATTTTAGGGATTTCCAACAAAAAGACATATTATTTTAACTTTTGGCTTGTGACAATAATCTCGGCTGTCACGGAAGAGTTGCAGCTGAATGAGCGGCAGGTAGCAATTGAGGAACCATTCAAAACACACTAAAGTGCGTCAACTGACTCTGAGAAGTGTACACCGTTCGATTTAGATCAGGACATGCCTCGTTAACTGATGATACAGCTTACAATACCATCAATGATATGAAAACTAACAAGCTTCTATCTTCATAGCTTACTTCCGCATCCACTAGCACTTATCAATCACACACTTTCCAGAGACTAATACGGTCTACACAGGATCGAACGCAGTTCACATGCATGTTTAATCCTTGGTCTCGACTGTGTTTTGCAGAGCATTCAAGGTCCTAACGCATGAGAGGAGTTGGCAAACATTTGTGTATCTTTATTCCAGAAAGGATGATAAGGAGCGGTGGTAGGACAACCACATCACGGTTTGAATGTGGATTCCTCGTCTGTGAGACTCTGGTGTCATGCCGACTGTCGGCTGCCCATACGATGAAAGTTATCCCCCCGGCGAAACCGTCAACCACACTGTCGCAAACCCGTGTTCATGTAGTTGCCAAAGTAGGGCGACGCCTTAAAGCCGAGACTTACGTGGGAGACTTGTGATCTCGGTAAGGATTCATTTCAAGTTTAGACGTTGTCTCTGCTGGATTTCCTTTAACCTTTACAAAGTCTAACTACTCTCTTGGGCGCATTAATGCAGTTGTGCAGAGGCTGTTTGGCCTCCACATTGCCTATCAAATCAATTTTTCGAAACTGTTCCAGTTGCTTGATATCGTGTATTTCCCAGCAAATCCGTTCCAATACCGCAGTATTTATGTAAAGCATGCAAAACAAAAGATGTGAATTCGGTTTTGGCATGGATTTTTTTAAGCATGCTCAGTAAGAATAAGGTACAACGGACAAGAAGCGGCCTCTGTCGCTTCAAAAATAAGTAACTTCTTCCAAAAATTTATGACATAACAAAAGAGCGGAAAGAATCGGTAACAATGATTAAGAAAGTTCGTATGACGAGGCCGATTTGGACACCCGGACTAGGGTGAAAGCCAGCACAGGCTAAGATACCGTGGGAGGTCAATGAGAGACGGAGGAAAGCAACACAAGGTCGGCTGTGTAGTACTTTTATACCTTCATTTTCATTCCCCCTGCGAACCTTCTCGACTTTGCCGACGTAAAAAACTACTAGCGTTTTAATTTGAAAGGCACAATCAGACTGTTGGATTAATTGGCTCCTTCGCTTCCTTAGCTAATGTAAAAAAAGTGTTATGAACCTACGCTTTCAACTTTTTTGAATTTCTGTGATTAATCAGTTGATGGCTCCCCTGTGATTGGCTATTGATGTTGGTGCACTTTGAATTTATTTGGCTAAGAGGAGGACAACGCCAGCGGGCCTGTCAAGAGGGAGAGTAGAGACTATTTGCAATTTCGGTCAAGTGTGGTGTTCTGTCACCTGCATCTGGAAGGTGTCACATCTGTCTCAATGTCTTCGATGTGCATGCTGCCCGTTTTTGGAGTTTTGCACGAGGTTATTTGCTCGTTATTGGGACGGTTGGCTGACAATGGACGTACCCACCGACGGGGAATTGAAATAGGCTGCCTCCCAACTCCCCAAATTAACTGATTTACAATTCTTTCTTAGAGTTAATCCACCTCATGATTACGGTAGAATCAGCAGGACATTTGAAGATTGGATTAGATAGTCTAAAAACGTTCATTCAATTTAGTATAGTGTTCTGCAAGGTCTTTAAAGATAACGTTGATTAACTTCGGATCATTTTTATTTGTCGCTAACTCTTTCACAATACGTTCGATGTAATAACCACCAATTTGCTCAATTCCACAGGGATCTTTTTCACTTCACCTCACCAGTGTGGCTCCTGCTAATCGCCTATTCATTCATGCATAAGCATGCCATCAGAGCCATCTGTGCGCCCACTTTGACCTCACTTGGTGTGCGTCATTTGACGTAAAGTGTCCCGACCAAATGGAAATGAGGTTAACTGCAGCCATAGTCGTTTAATCAAGTTGTCGGTGGGTTGGGTGGAAAAGCCAGCCATTAGCAATCCTCCTGTTTGGCTGCGAGAACAGATTTGTTTTAATGGTTCAGCTACTTCTCCGGCCGAACACCTTAACATCT